TTATAGACCCACCAAGTCATTCCAGCGAAGAGGTATGGAGCCGCGCCGCGACTGCGTTAACATTGCAAGCCTGTCAGCTTACGTCTTACGTTGCCAGCAAAGACGAGCAAAGAGGTTTGGAGCCGCGCTTGCGGTATCATGGCAAGCTTCAGTTGTGAATCAGTTCACTCTCGGACCCCCCCCCCCCGAGGCTGTCGAGGCCACCCAGTACAATACGGCAGGACACTAGACTATACTATACTATACCTTAATTTTCCTATTGGCGTTTATGGTTTATGTTTATGCGCAAACCCTGAACCCCAAACTCATAAGATCATAAGACCAACATTCCAGGATCCCAGCGCGTAGTCAACTGGACTTGGGGGGAGTATTGCTAAATCGCCTAAGGCCTAAGCCGCCTAAGTCCGCCTAACCTAAGCCCTCTAGTCTCCAGTCCCTTTCAAATAGATAGAATATAGCTTTGGGTACATTACATTTTTTCTCAAATTATATCAGATATTTATATAGTCCTCATAGTATTTCTACAGGCGGTATAGCAGCAGCTTACACCCTAAAGTAAACTGCTTCGTTAACTCGATTCTGCCTGTCGAATGGACTTTTGTAGCGTCCTCTGGCGTCCTTACGCAAGCGCGGATAAAGGGTGAGGGTTGTTGAGGGTATTTTGGGTCTCGGTCTGGGGTGAACGGTTCAGGATTTCGGATTTAGAGTTTAGGGGGCTGCGGCTGAGGTGCAAGTCTCAATCTCAGTCTAAGAGTTTTCTATGGGGCCCAAGGTTTAAGTATGGGTTTCGAGGGTTGATGTCTAGTCTAGGCTGTCTAGGGCTTGAAGTTGAGGGTCTAGAGCGTGGAGTTCGGGGGTTTGAGGAGACTTATGATATGTGATATGATATATGCTATATGATATATGATTCTATATGATATATGGGTTAAAGTTAAAGTTACGTGATCCATATGGGGTTGAGCTCCCGCATGACATGAAGTTTGCCGAAAACTGGAAACTACAACGCGATGAAGTCGCATGTTGTCTAATTTCCGGAACCAATGGCTTCTTGCCTGCAACTATACACAAGGATCCCTGATCCCTACAGCCCCCTAGCCTAAACCCCCTTGAATCACTTGAAGAATGGAGGACCCCGACCCTTGCAAAAGATGAACCGTAGAGCAACCAGCGCTCAAAAGGGCGGCAATGGTCTTCGAAGGTCCTTTACAGGGTGGGGGGGGGCCGGTGCTCGTATTGAGGAATAAGAATAAATAACCCCAAAGTCAACGATCATTAATTAATCCGATAGTCGCACGTGTCACCTGTCTGGTAGGGTTTAGCATAAAACCCGAAGACTAAAACCGAAGCCAAAGACCTTAACCCTAAGCCCGGCCCTAAAGCGCCTAAACCCTAAGCAACAAAATCAAAACCTAAACCCCAAGCCCTAAACCCCAAGCCCTAAACCCTAAGCCGAAGCCCCAAACCCTAAGCCTAAACCCCTGAAGCGAAGCTTGGCAGTCCAAACCCGAGACTGCCTCGGATTGCACCCTTACAGAAGGCGTATGCAAGGCTTCAGGGGGAGCCCAGGAGTATATGATGATTATGATTCATATGTAAGGGCTATGTGAGGCTTAACTTATATTTATACTGATACTGATACTTATAACTTATAAAGGGGAAACTACCTAAACCCTGAACCCTAAAACTGAAACTAAAACCCCAAAGCCCTACACCCTGGACCCTAAATTGCCTAAATTCCCTTGAAGCCCTAAACCCCAAATTTCTTCAAAGCACTAAACCCTAAACCTAAACCCTGAGACTTCCTGAAAGCCACACCTTCTGTACCGGCCGGCATCTTCTGCAAGCGCTCTAACTGCTCCCGGAGCTGCTGGTTCCGGGCCTTCCCACAGGTGTTTAGGTTTGGGGTTTAGGTTTAGTCTAGTTTTAAGGGTTTGGGGTTAGGGTTTGGGGATTAGTGGAGGGGTTTTCCGGTTTTCCCAAGAACTCCTTGGAGGGGGCTATACAGACAGGCTTAGTTTAGGAGTTAGGGGCCTCCCTTTT